TGACTGGGATAATTGGGATGGGAGTGTCAGAGACAGTGCGATTGGCACAGGACAGAGCGGAGTTTAGGGCTGTTGTACATAGGGTCGCAATGAGTCGCAAGCGACTCGATGGCACATAACAACAACAACAACCCTTCACCCATCAAATTTTGTGCCCTTGTGATTCACCACCCCCCTTCACCTCACCCTCTGCTCCCACCTTGACCCCTTTTGATCCTCATACATGTTCTATAATAATCGTCTTATACTGTATTTGTCGTTATGGAACAAATGTTCTTATGGGACTGAGTTAGTTCCAGATACAGGTTTTGTATGGGCACAGTCAAGTGTTCTGGGATTCCCATTCTTTTCATGGTTAGCCATAATTTATTGTGATCTACACCATCAATGCCTTTGCATAGCTAGTGAAACACAGATAAACATTTTCTAGTACTCTCTGCTTTTGGCCGAGATCCATCTGATATTGGCAGTGATGTCCGTAGTGCCACAGCCTCTTAAATCCATCTTGTATTTCTGGTAGTTCTTTGTTGATGTACTGTTCTGGTAGCTTTGGATAATTTTGCTTGTGTGATAGTAGTGATACCATTCAACAAGTTCCACATTTTTTGATCACCTTTTTTTGGAATAGGAATAAATAAGCATTTTTTGCAGTCAGCTGGCAAAGGTGGATGTCCTTCAGATTTCTTGGCACAACCTGGTGAGCACTTCCAGGTCTGTCTCTGTCTTTGAAATATGTCAATTGACAGTCCATCAGTTTCTGGGGCCTTGTTTTTTGCTAAGATTTGAGTGAAACTTTATAAAGCAAATTGCTTTTCTATTCTGCTCTTCATACACATTTCTGTTTTATGACATTAATTAAAATATCCAGTGTAACCACATTCTCCCATTTCCTGCCTGTGATTTCCATTAATCCTTTTATCCTATCCTTCTTATCATATGAGCTTTAACCTTGAGCTGGACTGCTCTTTTAATTTTATTGTTTGATTATCCTAAGGAGGAAGTAATTCCCTGACAGACCTATTTATTGTTTGGTTGAGTGGTTAGCCACAGGGATGAATTTTGTTACAGGCTGCCTGGAAGACTAAAGGTCATTGTTTCAGGCATTCCACCTGTTTCTGTTGGACCTGTAAACCCTCACCTTTTTATGTTTTTGCTTGTTTGTGTGTTGTTGTTTTTAAACATTTCCCCCACTCCATCCAGAATACTGTGATCTCTTTTAGAATGAACTGAGTAGCATCTAGTTCTGATTTCAGACCATGGAAGTTGAAGTTCACATATTCATTAGTCCTTTAGAATAATTGTTTCAATACACTTTTGCTTTTCTTCTTATTTTTCCAAACAGGAACAATAGTTGCATCTTAGATGACTGTGCACAGACTTTTAAAACCCAGTCACTACTCACCAAAGTAGAATGTAGAATATTGTTTTGTGGATTTTTGTTGTTAGGTGAATCTAGGCAATTCAAAATCATGTCATCCTGTGTATGTTAGGTTGAAACTGTGCCTGATCCTGTGCCATGCTTTTAAACTATATTGTGCTGCTGAAGCCCATTGTTGTAATCACTGTGTCACTACCTTCTTGCTGAGGGTCTTCCTCTCTTATGCTGACTCGTCACTTCTTCAAGCCTGATTTCTGCCAAGAACTGACCCCATGTGATAAAATACCCTAAGTATGTGAGATGATGTTGACTATCTGCCCCCAAGGAGCACTGCGGTTGTGCTTCTTCTAGGATGTATTTGTTTATTGTTTTGGCAATCCATGGTATATTGAATACTCTTCATTTATACTCTAATTCAGAGGCGTCTCTCTATCTTCAGCCTTCATTATTCATTTTCCAGCCTTCATTATTCATTTTCCAGCATATGAAGCAATTGAAAATACTATGCCAAAGACCAGGCACACCTTAGTCTTGAAATTGACATCATTCCTCCCCAGCCCTTTGAAGAGGTCCCTTGACAGTAGATTTGCCCAATGCAACACATATTTTTACTTCTTAACTGCTACTGTATGGATATTGTTAGTAGATCCAAGGAAAATGAAATTTTGACAACTTATCTCATTGGTGCACGGGTGAGGATGTTTGTTTTCTTCATGTTGCGGCGTAAACTATACTGAGGACTATAGTCCTTGGTCTTCTTTAATAAGTGCTTCAAGTCTTCTTTCTGAAAGCCAGGCTGTGTTCTGTGCATAGCACAAGTTGTTAATAAACTTTAATCTTGATGCCACTTTCTTCTTCAAATAATCCAGCTTCTCAGATGATTTACACAGCATACAGATTGAATAAGTGTAGAGAAAGGACATAGCCCTGACACTCACCTTTTCTGACTTTAAACCATGCAGTATTCTCTTAGTCTGTTCAAACAGTGTGCAGATTAGCATGAGCAAAATAATTGTTCTGGATTCTCATTCTTATCTGTGTTATTATCCATATTTTGTAATTGCAGAGTCAGTAACACAAAAGTAAATCCTCATTTTCTACTCTTAACCAAGATCCATCTGACATCATCAGCTCCTCCAACAGCCTCTTCTGAATCTAGTTTGAATTTCTCTGTTTAATGTCCTGCTCCATTCCTTTTTCAGTAATCTTCAGGATTTTACTTTGTGTGTGATATTAATGGTAAATTTCAATAATATGATCACTTTCTTTTTTTTTTTTAGAAATGGGCACAGATAGGGATCTCTTCCAGTCTCTTGACCAAGTAACTATCTTACAAATATCTTGGCATTGACTACTGAGCAAGGACAGAGCTGCACCTGTTTGCTAAAACACTTCAGCTGGCATCCCATCAGTTGCTGGAGTCTTTTTTCTTAATGCCTTCAGTGCAGCTGGACCTCTTCTTTCAGTATTCTTGATTCTTGATCATATGTGACTTCCAGGATTACTCAGCATCAGCCAGTTATTTTTGTTGACTTTGTTTCTTTCACTCACTTCCACCATTTTTTATACTTTCCTCACCATTCCATATTTTATCTATAAAATCCTTCAACTCGAGCCTTTCTTTTAATGTGCTTTTCAGTACATTCACCTTGATAAATGCTAAGAAATGCTAAGCTTGTACTTCCTTTTTTCCCCTAACTCTAGATCTTCTCACATTTTGTTATGCTACTTTTCCTTCTCAAGCTGCCCAATGAAATTTCTGTGCAGCAATCTTATTTCACTGGTGGTTCTTTTATTTATCTTCTCTGCACTGAAGAGCAAGTTACAGAGTCTTATGGCATTTCTTTGGACCATGTTTTTCCTTTCTTATCTTTCTTGTTGATTTTTTGTTTTCTTTGTGGATGATGTGTTCTACAATTTGTCTAGTCTTTGTTAGTGTTCAGTGCATGAATTCTATTCTTGAGATGGTTTTAAATTTAAGTGAGATAAACTAAGTTTGTGTTTTGGCTCTGTGGGCTTATTTCATATCCCTCAAGCTTCATTTTCAACTTGTGTATGAGCAAATGATGGTTTGTCCCCTTTTGTTCCTTGATCTTGTTTTAATTCCTAATACTGTACTTTTCCACTCTCTCTTTACACAGATGGGTAGTGAGTGTGATTCCTGTGTGTTCTAGCTGCGTCTTTATTGTGTACTTTTTAAAAAAACAACACCCCACCATAATGTACAGGGATTAAATCATTGGGTATTAAAAATTCCATCATGTGGTCTCTGGCCTCATTTCTGTCAGTGAGGCCGTATTTGTCAGCTGTCTTAGTCTTTGTTTCCAACTTTTGTGTTGCAGTCACCACTTATTATTATTGCTTCTTGATTTCACGTTTGGTCAGGTTCAGCCTGCAGAATTCTCAGTTACATCATCTTTGACTTTTATGGTCCATGCTTGCATTTGAATAAATTGTGCTTACAGCTTTTTCTTGTATGTTTATGGATATTGTCCTAGTACTGACAGCTGTTTACTTCAGGAAAAACATTGAAATGTTCTTCCCCCTGCCACACCCCCCAACCCTGAGGTACCATTCCTCTTCAATTTGTCATTCTCAGCATCGGACCATACGATTGTCTGATTTAGAATGGGCAGTTCTAGTCCACGTTGATGTTACTGATGCCTAGGTTGTTGATCTTTATGCATTCCATCTCACTTTTAACAACTAATTTTCCTCAATTACTGTTCATATTTTATATATTACAAGTACATATTAATAATGGATGCTTGCAGCTGTTTCTTCTCATTTTCATTTCAGCCACAGCAAATGAGTTTACTAAAAGTTGATTAACATTAAATATTCTAATAAGCATATTTGCTTCATTATTTGTTTTTCATTTGTGTATTTGTATGTTTTTTTTCTCCCTAATTGTTATTTTGGTTAAATATATGTAATGAGATGTTTGTAATTTACTACTGTTTATTTCCAAAACATGCATTAACCCCAAAAGAATCTCTGTACCTTTAGCAGTAACTCCCCATTCTTTCCTGAACCTCTCCCTTCGACCTTTCAAAAACAAGCTCAGACTCACTGTCATCTAGTCAATTCCCACCCACAGTGATCTTTCATCAGCCTTCCAAGGTGTGAGTCTTAATGAGAGGAGACAGCACACATTCTCCCATGGAGCAGATGTAGTTTGGAGCTGCCAGATAAGTTCAGCCTTTTGGTTAGTAGTGAGATAGATATTGTGTATGTTAACTCCAGCAGAGCTCTTCTACCCAATCCAGGAAACCACTAAAAAATGAATGATTTTAACACTTTAAAAAGATTGCACATGACAAAAAAAAATCTGTGATGTAATTTACATGATGTGCTTTTCTTTTTTCCTAAGAGTTTTATTTCTTGTCTATTTAAAAAGTTTATAAACGTTAGTGGTACTAGGAATTCTCTTTGGAACAGCCCAGCCAGTTCTTATAGTATGCTTTTTTTTTTTTTTTTTTTTACATTTCAGGTCTCATGAGTTACGATCCAAGATCCTTTCGTTGCAATTACTTCTGTCCATTCTGCAGAATGCAGGACCTGTTTTCAGGACTAATGAGATGTTCATTAATGCTATTAAACAGTATCTTTGTGTTGCACTCTCAAAAAACGGAGTGTCATCTGTTCCAGAGGTTTTTGAGCTTTCTCTTTCAATATTTCTTACATTGTTGTCAAACTTCAAGACACACTTGAAGATGCAAATTGAGGTATGTTTTGCATTTAGATATTAAGATGTAAGTTTACTATTGATGATCTCATCTGGTTCATGACAAATTAGTTTTAATGCACTAGATAGCTCTTGTCAAAATGTGACTAAATACTCCATTTAAAAACAAATGATTCTCATTCAACCCAGATGTGCTTAGGAAATGCTATCTACAGGCTATATGAAACACTAGGAATACAATTACCCTAAATAATTACCCTAAATGAGACAAAGCCCTTGCCTTCAAGGAATTTAAATGAGGTTGATTCAAAGTGTCATTAATTTGATCCTCACATTACCTTTTTCATTGTGCATGACAACAACAAGTATATGGTGCAGAATAATAAATTTGATTCTGATTTGCACAGTGGTCACATTGTATGTAAAGAGGTTAGTATTGTAGTTATTAACCTTTGAGTCAGAACCAATTCATAGCTGACCCTCCAGTGGATTTTCAGATGCTGTAAATCACTTGGGAGGAGATTGCCCATCTTTTTCCTGTGGAGCAGCGAGTGGATTCAGACCAGGTGTTTATCGTTGGCAGAATAAGGTCACCAGAGCTCTCTAATGAGGTTTATACAGAGCTCAATTATTCTTGAAAACTTTCAGTATCTGTTGCCATCAGTACTTGAAAAAGCTTTGATAGCTTTTGACAGTTTTTTAGTCTTTGTAAAAACTGAATTTTTTAATAAAGAAACTGTAAATTTGCTAAGTGAAATCAGTCACAAAAAGACATATATCATTTAAGACCACTCTTTAAAAAACTAGAGGAAGATATATTAAGGAAATATGGAAAATAGTGGTTTCTGCCTTGCATTTTTTATTAGCATCTAAATTTTGTGTTTTATTGGCTTAATGGCTTCTTTTAATATTTTAAAAATACTGAGTTGAGATTTAATTATTCTTTTAGAAAATAATTTTTTTTGTGGTTCAGTTTTCACTTTTACATAATGTTTGATAGGAACAGCAGATTGCTTTTTATTTATATTAAGCATACATTTAATCATATTCATGATTAAAAAAATTGTAGCAGCATATACAAAAGACATTTATTCTAGAAATTCCACCCTATTAAAATACTAATGATCCTCTATTGGTATCTATCTATTAAAATTTATTTATAACATTATAATGGAAGTAAAATACAGCCTTAATATTATGGGGTTTTTTTTAGCCTTAGTTTTTAAGTTAAGTATTTTACTTGGTCCATATTTTTGGATAGGGAAGGCTTTATAGAAATAGTTCCTGGTACCTCAGTGTTGAGTTTTAGAAGTTTATCATATTTCTATTAAAAGAATACAAGACATTTAAACTAGAAATAGTTACTGTTTTTAGATAATCTTCCCACTTACTTTAGGTAGTATAAATAAAACATTTATAAAGCTGCCTGTTTTTATTATATTATATTATTATATGTTTTACTTATTATGTTTTATTATTATTGTATTATTATATTACATCTTATGGTTTTTTATGTTGTACTTAATGTAACAGTAAAGAATTTTAGTAGACTGTGCAATTATTTATAGACTTTTGAACACTATGATGCTTACCCTCTTTGCACCAAATTTTTTTTTAAAAATTCCCTTTGTGATTGCTCTTCTTACAGGGTAAATTTGATACTAAAAATTTCATTAACATGAAAGAAAATACTTCTAAGAAATTTGTTCATAAATGATTAATTTTTATTACAAAATAATTTTCTATTTTAGGGTTCTTAGAAATATTTTATTTATTTTACTTTATTACTTTGTGTGTGTGTACCGTCAAATCAGATCTGACAGGTACATGAGGAGATTGCCACTCCTTCTCCAGCAGAGCATTTAGTGGATTCGAACCGTGTACCTCTGGGATTGCAGTGCAGCTTCTTGCCACTAGGCCACCAGAGCTACCTTTATTTTAGTTTTTTTAAGTGACTGTTTTTTCTGTACACTTTGTATTGCAACGGGATTATCAGGATAAAATGAGATAAGTGTAGATATGCTTTTTTAAATAATAAATTTATTTAAATACAAGATGAGTTATGTTTCACCTTAAAAAATCTGAACTGAAGAGTGTAGAGAAAAATGTTATAAAGGATCCCCAAGCCAATCTTTGAGGGATCAGCTTGTATTATAATTGATTACTTTTGGATTTATAATACATAATATCTCACAAATATCAGTGTGTTCTTTTTCTTCATTCTTTTTAATGACACTTTTTGTAAATAACTTGTAATATGAAAATTATTTGCTCTTGAATTAAACTTTATTTCATTAGATTATTATCACCTTTCTGCTTGGTATTATTTAGTGTAAAGAAGAGAAAGAAAGTATTTTAGGGTTTTTTATGTTTTTTAGATAACAGAGATAGCCAGCCACTATGGGACTTAAATCTTTTTTATTGTTGTTGTTGTTGTTGTTATATGACATCGAGTCATTTGCTACTCATAGTGACCCTATGTACAAGAGCTCTAAACACTGTTCTATC